TAGAGCCTGTAAAAAAAAAAATTTTTAGAATTTTATTTTTTTTTTTTAAACACAGCAAAAATTTAAAACGAGAGGAATCGTTTTTTTTTTTTTTTTTTTTTTTTTCTCTCTGGTGAAGAAGCTTCTGGCTCATCCTTATCTAACAGAGCCATCATTAGGACACAGTGCTGTTCAAAAATGCAGCAGCACAACATGATTGACAGCGTAGGAGTTGGCTGTAAATGTTTATTCTCCTGTGATGAACACAGGGTATGGTCGGTCACATTTTCCAAAAACAAAGAAAACTCCTTCCACTGACTGAAAGCTCTGCTTCAAAGTAACGAGCACTTCATGGAAAGGTAGTGGAATCAAAAGTACAATATTTGTCTGGAGTAAAAGTCATAAATTTCTAGAAAAGTTTCATCATCAGTTGCATCGTTGTCTATTGTTAGTTACTCTTCTGGAGAGGAACGTGTCCTTCTGCATGCCAGAAGCAACACTTTGAAATTGAGCTGATGTTTTTCCTGGCAGGACGATGGCTGTCTCACACACACGGACATTTTTTTGTGACATTATTAGAGGAGGCAAAGGGACATCTATTGTATTGCAACAACACGCGCACACACGCACACACACACACACACGTTGCGTTTATATAGACAGAATATTAAACTGTCAGTTTAATTTCATGGTCACTGACAGATTGTTCATTTTGATATGTAACTGAGCAGATTTTGGCGTCGTGCACCTGATGATTCATCACAGATCATGTAACATCTATAAGCTTTTAGTTGGCACTGACACTTATCTGACTTAAAACTAGAATTACTGCCTTGCGGTTGTATGCCTCCGCCACTCAAGACTAGTTTCAGGTTACATCCCTGTTTTATCCAGAATCATATAAAAAATTAACCAGTTGTGTGAAATTTTGTCATAATTTCTGTGTGATTGTTGAAGTATTTTCTGATGTCACCGTGACCATGACCTTTGACCAGCAAAGTGTAATCAGTTCATCCTTGAGTCCAAGTCGGAAATTGTGCAAAATTTGAAGGGGATTCCCTTGAGGAGCTCTGGCGATACTGCGTTCACCCAAAATCATGTTTTGTGAGGTCACTGTGACCTCGACCTTTGGCCTTTGGCCATCAAAATTGGATCAGTTTGAGTCCAAGTTAACATTTGTGCCAAATTTTGAAGAAATTCCCTCAAGGCGTTACTGAGATATTGTGCTCACAAGGCCACCACGCCCTTGACCTTTGACCTCCAAACCTAATCAATTCATCTTTTGAGTCCAAGTAAACGTTTCTGCCAAATTTGACAGTCCCAAAACAGTATGCCTCTGGCTCTGGCCAATGAGTGCAATGGCAGAATAAACTGAATAAACTCTAATCTCTCCGTTATTTTGAAGACTGTACTGAGCCAAAGCCATATCTTCTGTTTGTTGTATTAATGCTGGCTGCTGACACTAAGCTGTACCAAAGTGTTTGCATTGTATCTGTATCCTGCTGCCAAGTCAGCTTTTATTATTCCCAGGGACACCTGCTTTTCACCACAGCTCTGACCAAACGGACAAAAGATAAGCCAAGTCAAATAATATAAAACCAAGCTAAGTGTGGTCTGAGATGTCCCGGACTCTGCACTGCACAGAAGATAAACACATTTAAGGTAACAACATGGCTGCCACCCTCAGGCCAGATTGATGGTGGCAGCCCTCTAGTCGAGGGGCATTTTTGGGAACCATGAGAGAACAAACATGCCTTCCCATTTCTGACTCATCCATAAAAGGTGTGTTTGATACTTTCACTTCTCTTGTCACTGTAAACTCCACATTCACACAGTGGCACAGAAATTACATGAAGATACTTACGTGTAACTGACACGACACGGATTCCACCCTGGGTTATTTTAGGCATGCATGTACACACACACTTTGTTCATACAAAGGACACACCTACTGTACTCGTATACCTTTAAAATCTTAGCATGCCATATGTGTAACTGGTTTCTACACATGCAATGCTTTAAATTCTTTCATTCTTTCTTTCCAGCACTTTGGTAACACACATATAAACAACTCTCTACAACTATCACACAGATGACCATGAACTATACAGATATCCATGGTGGCTGGAGGACAGATCGTAATGACTTTGGTGATCCTCTGACTTTTCCTCTGGTGTCAAAATGAGGCTGAAAGTTTTGGGGTTTTAGTGAAATGTCTGTGCAGTTTTGATTAATCCTGCAAAGTATCTCAACATCTGCCACCATCAGGCTGACAGCTGTGATTCTTAGTGAAATGTCTCAACAACTGTTTGATTGCCATCCCCCTCAGGACAAACTGTAATAACTTTTCATCAAGCATTATCAGCTGTATTTTGTGTCTAGGGACAGATTTACTTGCTTAACATCAGCCTGTTGTAACTGTCATTTTGAGAATGTTAGCATATTGACGTTAGCATTTAGCTCAAAGCACCTGTGTCAGGTGTGTAGAGCCTCGCAAGGCCGTAGACCTCCATATCGCTGCAACCACTGTAACAGTAAAGGTTTATATGTTGTTTGCACAACCCTAAGTGCTGTGATCAGTTCATGCTTCTCGTGCATATCAAATTTATTTTAAACAGCTTTCATTTTCTGTTGACTCTTCATACTGAAAACACCACTAGACTGTACAAAGTGTGTAGACACACCAGAGGGCAGTGCAGGGTAGAAAGTCACCAAGTCAAGAGCAGCATTAAGCCTTTTCTCCTACACGAAACAAGTGAAGCGTCAAGTTTGTTATTTGAGGAAAAATAATTTTCCTCAAACGTGTAAAATTGTTTAAATTGTACACAATGTATGCACACTTTGTGTCTGTCTTGAAATGATCAGATTACGTAATGATTAATGTAAAGTGTGGTATAAAATATGAAACATTTCCAGAAAAAAACATCAGTCAGATATTCAATATTCAGACACAGTGAGGAGTTTTTGATATGGTTTTTTTTTTTTTTCAAATCCACAATCCATTCTTTACATTCACACCATCAGTCAAATCCAGGCTTCTTATTCTCAAACAAACACACTTCTGATCTGTTATAATACAACTCTGATAAGCTTTAAAAAATGGCACCATCACATGGAAAGTTAACATGATCAGGGAGGAAAGTGTGTTCATAGGCAATTTAACAAAAATACTTTTTTCAATGAAGATAGATTCTTTTCTTTTCTTTTTTCCATATAATATAACGATAGAATAAAATTTTGTCTCTGAAAAGTGAAGGTTTTATGTTGGGAGAGTGCTATGTCTAAAGTGTTGCATAGTCGAGGAGACATAAATGTAGGGATAGTGGAGATCTTAATTTAAAACAACACATAAGGAGTAAAAAGCTCTTTGTTTAATGCAGAGTGCAGGGTAAAAAAAAAACTAAACTTTTGAATATTTTTATGTGATTGTTTTGGCTCCAAACCCTTAAAAAACTAGTCAGAAAGCTTGTCCTGCCACCTTGAACCTTGAAGCTCGTGTACTGGGGGCATGTGAGTGTAAAATCCTGCGATGCAAGCAATAGTAACATATCGACCATCTTTGTGCAAATGTAACTCAATAGAACAAGATCCACAGCAATCACATGTGATAATAATCTCCCAAGCAGTTTTATGAACACGGGGAGGAAGATTGTTTCAAGTGTCACTCACATTGCAGCTGTTAAAAGTGCCACTCTGCGTCCATCCTCTTGGCAGGCAAACAAAGAACCAGCTTAGCTTTAAAAAAAATACTGTTATTCTAGCTTATGGGCTGATTAAAGCTCCAATCCACAAACCTGAAGAGCTCAAATCATGAACTAGAACTTCTCTCTGTGTGATTTACTTTACAGATTGTGTTTATAAGAGCAGACTCCTCAGAGGAATCCTTGTCCAACGGTAGACAAATGTGTTTATGTAGCTCATTCCGCATCGGCTGGATGAAAGCTGGAAACATCTCTAGTTGCAAAACAAGTGGGGGAATTCCCAACTCAGCTTATAAAGTGTCTCGAGATACTGTGCCAAGCGTTTTTTTGTGTTTTTTTTTTTTTTTTTTTTTTTTTTGTGTGTGTGTGTTTTTTTTTTCTTTTTAAACCAGACGTTAAAACAAATGAAGAAAAGGGTACACAAGTATGAACCACACCCAGTCTCTGCTGCTGGTTCTCACTTTACAAGCTCCAGCCAGGGAGCAGAACTGCTCTTTCTTCTTGTCTCATCCATACATACATTCATTTGTCCTGTCCTGTCCTCTGATCAATCAGCTGTCCGTCCACTGAATGAGAACATGTAAGAGTTTGCACTTTGCCAAAGCCCAAACTCTTATCTCCGGTTGTTCTCCTTTTCCTCTTCAGTAGCATCCACAGACCTCTGCTTTGCCTCAAGTCTCTGTCCATCAGAAAAAAAACACAAAGATCCACGATGCCGGCCGGGGTCACCGGAACTCATAGATGGCTGCGCTGTGCTCGGGAACGTGGGTGAGGTTTAGAGACTGGTACCTGCAGAGAGACAACACAGTATAGGTTACAAAAAATAGGGCTAGGTAAGGCAACCTTGTCATGAACTCGTGTATAATCCCAAATCCCCCATCTTATGTAATATTAAATCTGAAGAAGCATGTACGTGAAGTATAGGCATACTTGCTTATCCTTCGAGGCTTTCAGGCTGCATAACATTGCTGTCTCAAAATCATAATATCATGAGATATAGTCCTATTTTCAGCTTAGTGAAAATTCATTTTTCAGATAATCAAAAGGGTTTTCAATGGTTTATTTATCTTAAAGATATCATCTTAAGATCTCTCTTTGGAATCAAACTGCTTTTGTTGATTCTATTTATGGTCTACAGTTACAGTAATAGCCATTCAGTGTGTTTACATTCAGTTATTACCTTTTTATAATGTAGGTTTAAAGTTTCATCACCTTCACGCACAAGAGGCATTCACTTAACCCAGCATGATTTTATCTAATCAATATCAGCCTCACTGTTTAGTGTTCACTCTCTTCACACTATACCAGAGCTGTATTAAGTTACTTCTGGACATCCTACTACCGCTTCTTCACTTTAAAGCATTAAACTAACAAAACACAGGGCTTTTATAGTGATGAAGCAATAGGAAGTGCTATCTCAGATATCATGGAATCAACCAAGACTGAAATCTTCACGATTAAAATTTAAAGAAGTACTGTAGAAAACTTATTTCAACCTATAAAGAAATACTTAAGCATTCAGTTAATCTTATAAAAAAATCTAAATCACCAAAACTGGAGATATGTGGTTTTGAAAAGCACTTTGACCATTCTCTGAAGCATTTACTTGATAGTTGATTCATGAGGCCAGGTAAAAATAATCAAAGGCATTCATTAGTTTTAAAAGTTTGAATCATTTGACTCTTCAAACAAAGCAGTTTGACAAATCCCAACCCAAAATAAAAGGGTTTTACTAGTATAAATGATTGATGTTGACATCTGAAAGCCAACAGTTAATTATGCTTGGAAAAGCACAAGGAACAAGACGAACTGAGGTCTGGGCTGATGTGCGTATTCAGCCTTTTCTTCATGTGTTGTTTTCAGGGTTCGCACCAGAGGTGGTAAATGCAGCACAGAGTTGAACCTACAAACAAACTACTCATGAGTCCATAACAGCATTGTCATTAAAACTGTTTTCAGTTCTCATAATGACGCTAAATGCCACCATCATGGTAAGTATGACGTAAGCACGGGCTGTTGATCATTTTCCACTTTTGGAAAATGGCATAAAATAAAAGGTATTCTGTGGTTGGAGCAAGAAAAAAAACTGCTTCAAAGTATTTGGCCAGAGCAGGGAATTAAAAGAAAATGAATGGAATGAAATCAGAGAGTTTTGGTAACAATAGCTTAACCATTATGTGCAGAGGGAGTTGAAAGAAATGCCGAAGAATGTCAAATAAAAATGAAAACACTAAAGATGGAGTACAAGCAGGCCCCTGTTTGTTTATCACCAGGCAGTACGACCACATAAATCAAATGCAACAAACTGTGGGTGTGATTGTTCTGCTTCGTCAACATAAAGTCACACACACAGTCGTTCGGAAAAGCCACATTCATCTACGAATCACTGGAGCAGCTCCCAGGGCACCCTGACAAAAGCTGCAGAAAGCTGGAAATTGTGTCTGTTAATGACTTCTCCCATCCAGATTTTCCCATCTGCTCTGGGATTCAGTCCAGCAACCTTTCCTTTTCCTTTCCTAAAATGACTGAAATTCACCTCACAGTAACTAGTGTTGGGCTGCATTACCATTCAGAGCTCCTGTGGTAGTAGTAGCCCTCGATCGTTGCTGTGGATTTCTGGAAGCAGATGTAGTAGAATCCAGCAAAGGAAGCTCCGCTGATGTCTTTGATTGTGTGGTCAGGGACTAGAAACTGCTCCTGAGGGGATGGACAGGGTGAGAAACAGCAGCAGCTGCAGTTCAGAGGCGACTTACTACAACATATGATCAAGCTCAATTTAGGCAGCACCTTACCTTCCACCTCATGAAAATAAAGTCAGAGTTCTTCAGATCCTCATAGTCAAAATCATCAGAGTTGAAAGTCTTTGCATACTGGTAGAAGGCCTGGAACTTGCCCTTCACACAAAATGAAAATTCATTATGTTACAATACACCAGTTACAGTGTGTGTGGAGCCCATGTTTAGATGATGAATCAAGTTTTCCGCCTTACCCAATGCTTACGATCCACATCTTCATCTGCATCCCATTTCCGGGTGAGAAATGGCCGCTTCCTGCTGATGATCTCTCCAGCGAAGAACGTGGTCAGAGTTGGGTATTCCTATGAGAGTGAACGCCACAGAGAAACAAACAGGAATGTTTTTGTTTTGTTTTGTTTTGTTTTGTTGTGTTTTGTGTTGTTTTGTTTTGTTAGCTCTGGTGCAGCCAACCTGCTAAACAGTGTTTTGTCTGTTCATCTCTTTGTAAATGAAAGAATGCTACATCCAATGCTAATGGTAAAGTAGAAGACCATTTTCATTCTCAAACAAAGTAGACAGTAGAAAGTAACTACGTTTTAAAAGTTGGAATATATACGCTTATATTCGTGGTTTATTATTCATAAACAACTCATGCTGTGGAACATATAGGATATTGTAAATTATTATATATTTTAGTAGAAAGACTACTACTTGAACATACCAGTTATATTAGAGTTTAAGCTCACTGCCATTTATTCAAAATGCAGTCAAATGTAATAGACTTAAACCAGCTGGTGATCTCCCCCACTAACACCCCAGCTATCAAATACATGCTAAATGTATCAGTATACACCCACTGCATGTTTGCCAGCATGTGAAGCAGCTTTAATGTTGTAGAGTTTAACATCCTCTACAATGTAAACAACAGAATACTGATTGGGGATGACTGGACCTAGACTGTACCCGTCTCTTCAAAAAGGACACAATGAGCAGTGGCCAAACACAGCTTAAATTATTTATGTTTGTGGTTTAATAAAGAGAATTACTTCTCTCACCTCTGTCAGTCCTTTTATCTTCAGGTAGCCACACAGGTAGGAATCCTCCATGGTGACATGCTTAAGAAGAAAACAGTAAACAACAGAGAATGTTACTTCATACCTGATTCAGGTGTAGTAGTTACCTCTACATTCAAATGACAGTAAGTGGGAATGCTGTGATATGCTTTAATTAAGCTAATATTAAATTCCTATCAATATCTCTCACACAAACAACCGTAAACATACACGTTTGTCTTGCTACGTGGTGAAGCCAAAGCAAGATGAAACCCCTAGAGTCGTATTTTCCGACAACAACACTAAATGAGATGTCTCATTGTAGTTGAAATAGGTTGTTAATAGTCGCAGGCACTGCTACATCCACAGCTAGCTAAAGGAGTTAGTTAACGACAGGCCAGGGCCCATTGATTTTCCAGCTGTCAATCACCACACCGTCCGTTTGACAGATCACCAAATACCCCTGACAGCTCGCCCGATTAATGAAATATCCGCTTCACAGCCCCACCTGCAAAACCACCTCCACGTCGTAAGAGTTCCCTTTGCTCTTCTGGTGGCCCCTGAACTTGGAGCCGCTGTACAGCAGCGAGGTGACAACACCGGGCTGCTGGGTGTTTATCGGTGGCGGCGGGATAAGCGAGGACGAGGATGCGAAGGCCGCAGCGGGGGAGTCGCTGAGGTATCCAGCGGGGACAGGCATGGCTCCCGCTTCGCTGGCTGGGCACCAACCGCGGTCACTGGCCGTCTAGGCGATGGACTTTGTCGGCGTCTACGAAGAGGCGGAGGAGGACTGGTGAGGCCCACCAACATCCAAATCCCCACTTATTCCTCTGTAGTTTAGTTTACCAGGCACCAAGCTCCCAGAAAAGTAAGTGGACTTCGACGCGGCGACGTAGGCATTAGCATCCGCCCCTCTCATTGGCCAACTGAATCCACCTGGCAAAGATCTTCAACGCCCATTGGTTCGATTTACGGAAGGGTTTGTGGGAGTTTTTGAGTGTAGTTTTTTCCTGTTGTGTTAGAATGCGGTAGAACATCTTAAAAAACTACATTTCCCCACTACTAACAGTAACTATGATGCTATCTGTCAAGCACAGAAGGTCAGACGCGTGCATTTGAACGCAGGAGCTGTTTTATGAAAGCTTAGGAAGGAATGTATGCTAGCAAATAGGGACATAGTGACTTTATACAGTTAGCCAAGGCGGTATAAACAAGAACCAATGCTTATAATACGAAACAACAGCCACTCGTATAAAAATGTTGAATCTAATTAACTAAAGTCTAGCGTGTCAGCTCTCCTCTCAGTTAGCTTTTCTTAACACACATCTCCACCTATCTGCCACTATGTTAAAGAGCCTTGTTAGACTTCAGAGTCAGCTTGGAAATGCCCTTTCTCTCAGTAAAGTGTGCCCAAGAGGTCAGCAGTCCCGATTTACTTTGAAATACTCCACAGCCGCAGCAGGTAAGATAATGAACAATGTGGATAAAACTGTCTGCATTAGTAGTACGTTTGTAAATCTGTTGACTGACGCGATGTTTTCTGATGTTAGCAGAAAGAAAGAAATTTTATCAAGATGTCAGCATATCCCAGGGTGACGGTAAGTGCCAGATATCATCATTAATAGGTCAAGTGTAGAAGTTCTGTGTGTTTGAGAGTAAAAATCCTGTGTGTCACATGTCACAATTTCCATTGTCACAACAAAGGAAAAACAATGCTCTCCTCTGAGGAATTAAAACATGCAGACGTGCTGTGTTTTTCATACAGGCATAATTGCTTAATTAGTTGTTCCTTCTCCATACTTGTGTTGTAGGTGGTGTATATGAGATCAACCTAGACAGAAGGAAACTGAAAACCCCCGGAGGGAAGCTGTTCACAGTGCCAAATGAAGCCCTGGCCATCGCTGTGGCAACCGAGTGGGACGCTCAAAGAGACACACTCAAGTTCTACTCAATGCACCTGGTACGGCCATTGAACTGGGTATTGAATAGGGTTTAAAGAATAGTTTCTTATCCAGGGTTTCCTTCAGCGTTTAAAAATGAAGACCACTTCTGCTAATGTCACAGTCCTTAAACAGGCATCTAAGAACTACACTGATCAAGATGAGATGCCTCAGACTTTTACCACCTCTGATTACTGTTTACATGGGAAATCTTGTCATCCTTAGTTAGACCACATTCAGGGTTGATTGATATGTAGACTGCTTTTTTGATATGTCATGTGTTTTCAGTTACATATGTAAGGTTTAAAAAATATAATGTTTCTGTTTGAATATGAAGTACAAATTTTTGAGTTACGTCCATGCTCTAGAAAATATATTTATAATAGTATATGATGCATCATTTGACATGACAACTTGACACATCTTCTTGTGGGAAGGTTGTGAGGATTTGGGGTGAGAATGCTAGTTCATGTTTTCCAAAAAATATGAGAAGCCTTGATTTATTGTATGCTGCTGCAACCCAGATCCTCCATTGAGAAGTTTTACTTTACAGAACCAAATGTGAACTGATCCTCAGAAAAAAATAATGCAAGTAATAATTTTTCACCATCCAGCTATTGCCATGTTTTTAGTTTTTCATGCCACTATTGAAGGTAAATTGTAAACTCTCCCTGCAGACTACACTGTGCAACACAGCTCTGGACAATCCCACGGAGCGTAATGAGGACCAAATGATCAATGCTGCTCTAAAGTTCCTGGAGACTGACACTGTTTGGTATACTACTCATTTGATTTTTTACTTTAATTCATATATTTATATTAACTTTTTTTTAAAACATGGCTTTATTGTTGCTATTAATCAATAACAACAATGATTTAGTTGCTGGTCTATATATCTGTTATAACCAGAGCTAATTTTTCTTAATAGAGATTAAAGGTTAATATAATCATCATTAATATATCATTGTTTACACATCAATACATTTACACAACACAATGACAACATAGATATTAAATGTCCATCCTCTCAATGAAGTGACACTCTTTCAATTAAAAGTCCATGCTTGTTTGATACATATACATATTGATAATGGATAAAGACACTGTTAACAGGGAGTTACTTGCAGTTGTGGCTTTAAATGTTAATGGTGTTTATCTTGTGTGTAGTTACAGAGTAGATGAGCCCTATGCTTTGGTTGAGCTACAGAAGAATGAGTGGGACCCTGTGCTGCACTGGATTGAAAACAGGTAACAGCAGTATTAGTTTTTGTCACAGTCAAAGCACATAGACAGACATTAAAGCCCCCTAATACAGGACGGCTTATTAAGCTACTGTACTAAGCTTGTTCCTAATTGTCTTTATCTCCCACAACTCAATTGCAGATACAATGTCACTATTGGCTCCTCGTCCAGTATTTTGGGTCCTGAGATTCCAGAGGCAACCAAAGATACGTTCCGGCAACACCTGAAGTCTTTCAACTTTTGGTCTCTGACAGGTGAAATATTTCTAAACTGATCTAAGATGAGCACTTTTAACTGTATCTGTTGTGCTGAATATCATCATTATAATGGCAAGATTATATATATAAAGTATATGGTTTCTCCTGTGCAGGGCTCGAGTATGTGATCACACAGCTGAAGTCTGTTGTTCTGTCCATGGGGATGATTGACAGACATCTGAGTGTGGAGCAGGCTGTGCTGCTCTCCAGACTGGAGGAGGAATACCAGGTAGAAGAGAGTGTTTTCACCCACAATTTTTCCAACAACATTTTTAGTGAATATTGTTTTCTATTTCTTCTCCTTACAAAGAGAACCTTTGCTTATCACTGCGCCCTACATCTGTCATACTCAGAAAAAAACTTTACCTAATGTGCTCTAGAGAAACAGCACCCTCTTCTGTTTTCAGAGTGTTTCCCATAATAGCTAACCTGGCAGCACACAATGTGTATTGTAGTGTAAAGGCTGACTTTGCTCTTCTGTTCCCTGGTTTTGTTTATTTATCCATCTACTGTCTTTGCACATGGTAATGATTTTGTAATCTTGTACTGCTTCATGTACAATCATTGGTGTTGCAGTTGATAAATAATAAGACAGACCTGCTAACCTTTCTGCTTGCTATCATTGGCTTTCCTCTATTTCTTTCTCCCACAAAGATTCGGCGCTGGGGAAACGTAGAGTGGGCCCATGACTACGACATGTATGAGCTGAGGGCACGGACCGCTGCTGGAGCTCTTTTTGTTCACCTCTCATCTGAGAGTTCAACTGTCAAGCGCAAACTTCTGCAGGACTGAGAGAAAGATGAGCTCAAACATAGAACTCTCAGTAACCGAGAGAGAAACCCCAAGCACCTCTGTTTATCAATGATGTACATCAATGCAGAAAAACACAACACATCCTGTTTGTTCTATTTAGCAGTGACAGCAGCTCTGTCTGTCATCTGTTACAGAAACATCTCACTCTAGTCTTTTTTTGCAGTGTTAATATGTGGAAGCTGCCAAGAGTGACACCCCTCACAGAGTTTCCAGTCGGTTCTCAGTCATCCGCGACATTTTGGATGCTGGTGACTACTACTGTTGTCTGTTTGGTGGTGGAATGTTAATTCCCTGGCTGCTTTTTCTGTGTGCTACATTTGATTACTGGAAGGTGCATGTGCTATTCTACCAACAAACTGTCCACGCTAACTGCGCTGTGTAGATGAAAGCACACTGCATGTGAAAAAATATTCACTTGCAGTAGGTAAAACATCAAATTGCCATCTGTAGTTAAGATTGTCATCGTTCATGTTTTGTGTATTTTGGCATTTTCAGTGTGGTAATGAGGTGAGAGATTAAATACTGCACAGAGAAAGCTTGTTCATGTGTATCAACTATACAGTGCTGTTTCTACAAAAAGTTGTATTTTAGTGGAAAAGTGGGTTGCACTCTCATGCAGTTGTAATTTTCATGTACAGAGCTGAAGGTTTTGTTGCTTTTACAGTTGAAATGAATCACAGAAATGAAAAGAATGGCATTATGTGACTCATATTTGTCGGTGCCCTTTCCCTTTCCACCACTTGTGAGCAAAATACGTCAGCAGAGCTTATCGTGAATTAAAACCCAAATAAGGCAAAACATTTTTACAGGCGTCTGTCTCAATTAATGATTAAATGCTAATGTTATTTGTCTGAATCATCTCACAGAAGACCGACTGCTGCGGTCATAAAATAACAATTTCAGTTTTATAGATGCAACCTTTGTACCTTTTATTTACAATCGCCCAACTCTCATGATGGATGTTCTAACTGTCCAATCACGCTAAAGGTCAGGATTTCTTGGCCAATTACGTTGCTCTGTGGGCGGGACTTACTGGACGTTTCCTCATGTATCATCATCATCCCATGGACTGACTTGTTTGTTGTCGAGCAAGATGGAGTTCCTTTTGGGAAATCCTTACAGTACCCCAGTGGGGCACTGCATTGGTATGTAACTGGATATTGAGGAAACGACAGTGCATGCAGCTTGATATATTTGTCCCGGAAATGTTTGTTTTATGCCATAGTCATTTACGGTCTTCCTACCTTTAGCATGCTAACGTCCCTGAATAAGTTCTCTACAGCTGGAGAGCCACCGTTAGCCGCCTTGCTAACTAGTAGTTACGGTAACATCTGCTGTCATTGTGCTAGCGTTACCGTTATCAAACTAAAGGTCCTTTTTTCTACCACTGTCATTTCTTGTCTCAGCGCTAAAAAACATTAACGAATTCAGTCACTTATATCTTAAAGGTTGGCTAATAACTAAGTCAGCTAACAGTTAGCTAGCCGCCAGTCATCGTCATATACTTGGGCAGCTGTGCTTTACTGAAACGTCTTTAAATGTCATGTTCTCAGCCTTTTCAATACCTGTATGTGTGTTGCAGAGAGAGCCACTGACGGCTCCCTGCAAAGTGAAGACTGGACCCTCAACATGGAAATATGTGACATCATCAATGAAACAGAGGATGGGTGAGCACCCAGAGAAAATCAATGAATATCCACATATGTTATTGATTAACTCTCATATTTACTTGCTCAATTCAACTAAATCAAGTATTCCGTGTTCCTGTGCTGTTTACATAATGCATTGCTGCAGCATGATATGCCACTGGAGTCAGTCCTATCTTTTCTTTACCTGAAGAAGCCTAGCTCTGGTTGTGTTAGGTGGATGTCTGCAAGGCCTCTTTGCTTATCTCACTGCTCCATTAACCTTGTACTGTATGTTTAAGCGGTTGTGTGAAGTTCAGCTCTTGTTTGATTAATGGGTTGTAAACTGCCTTAGGTGGGTCTTGCCTAGCCTCGCTCAATGTACTGTAGCAGTCTATAAAAATAGGTCTGACTCTGCTTCTTTCTTGTCTCTGGGGAATGCAAGGGGTGTCATATACCCACTACTGTGATGTTGATGCAAACTGTTTGAAGTAGTCAAAGAATTCAAATGTTAGTTATTTCTATCTCACAGCAGAACAGTCACAGTGTCAGTCCAGAGATTGTGAAAAGTCAAGAAATCATTGACATGTGGCTCAGCCTGGTAGTCAGGGTGTCAGTGCCATTCAGAATGCCCCCAGAAACCTTTGGTCATTAACTTCTTGGTAATTCTTCTTGGTGTGTGTTATCGGTCCATTAAAAAGCTGTGGGCATGCTGCACTATGCTATCATTGTGTGTTTAATGTGTGCTTTTACTTGTGTGTTTGTGTACTCGTCTGTGTGTGTGCAGGCCAAAAGATGCCATTAGAGCAGTGAAGAAGAGGCTGAATGGCAACAGGAACTATAGAGAAGTGATGTTGGCTTTAACGGTGAGTTAAAGTGCGCAAAAGGGGGGCAGCTACACTGCATTTCAAGTTAAGTTATTTAAAAAAAAAGTTACTCACATACTTCAGTTGTCCTATTGTCACCATCAGACGAATATGTCACAGGTTAAATAAAATCTTACTGTGTTTTTTCTCTCACATAATGTATGTTATGTAATTATGTAGAGCAAATCACTTAAAGCCACTTGATTGTATCACATAATTTGCATCCACAGAGAATTTGCAATATCATCTACATACTGTGTCTGGTTTGAAAAACTGTTAATGTGCCCACAACAGTATGTACAGTTTGTAAGGCAGTAGCATATTCTGAAAGCAGTTTCTTCTCTGCATCCATCAGGTCCTAGAGACGTGTGTGAAGAACTGTGGCCATCGTTTTCATGCTTTAGTCACTAGCAGGGATTTTGTTGATGGCGTCCTTGTTAAAATCATCTCTCCTAAAAACAACCCACCTACAATTGTTCAAGATAAAGTACTTGCCCTGATTCAGGTAAGATATCAGTAAAATTGTATGCACCTAGTCCAGGTTTGTCGGCTTCTGTGTGCACAGTCAGCACATGCCCTGAATCTTAGTATGTCATTTCCATGACAGATGTGAGACATGTGTGAGGAAAAAAATATTTCAGATTGAGTCAGTTAGCGAGCAGTGACATGAGTTTTTTAGTGCAGGTGTTTATTACAGTAGGTGTGGCTGTGCAGCAGTCCAGGAGGTGGCCTATCATCCCCAGGCAGAGCCTCAGGTAAAGTACAGTGTCTCCAGGGCTTCAGCCAGGAGCAGCTCCAGTTACCTGTCACAGCTCGGGTAACCCTGCAAGGCTCATGTGGGCTGCTCTTATTTCCACCAGGGGAACCATGTGACTAGAGCTACAGCATGGATCCAGGAGGGCAGCATACAATACCTGTGAGGGAGAAGAGAGACTCTAATTGTTCCTTGTTTGTCTTATCACTAGACAAACAAGTTCATGACAAGAGAGTCACCTGGGAAAATTGTGTGGGAAACGTTTTTTGAGCAGCACTTCCTTCATACACACACAGCCAGAGTATTGTTGACATTTCATTTAGCAAGATGCATGGTGTTTTGCAGCTCATCGAAGTTGATAAAAGTGAGCGTGTGTGCACAGTGAATAGTCTAGACTAAGTTGATATATTCCAGCCAAACTGTGTAGCCTTGGTTAGAGCATTGGGTTTGCATATTTACTGTACTGGTTTTACTGTACATAGCCTTTATGATGTTTGCAGACACACTGACACACACAACGGAGAGAAGGGAACTGTTGTGAAAATTTGAATTTAGATTAAACCGACTTGCAGTTTGAAGTGACTAAGTAGAACAAGAACTCACTCAAAGACCTTGTGCACTTGTTTTTTAAAAGTGTGTCATGTGTTTGAGCTCTTGTAATGGCCCGGTCTAGCTTTAGCCTGCCCACTGCTGAGAGAGAAAAGCCAAGAGCTTTGTGGTTTGTCGACTGAATGTATTCAAGACAGACAAACAGAAATGATCAGAGAACAGGCCTCGTTTATTATACTGACATCCCTTGCTTTGTTTGCTGTCCGCCCTCCCTTTACCCGTTGTTTTTTCTTTCATTCTCTCCTTTTTAACTCCCTTTTTCTTACTTTGCCTTCTCCAGGCGTGGGCTGATGCATTCAGGAGCAGTCCAGACCTCACAGGAGTGGTCCAAATCTATGAGGAGCTAAAGAGGAAAGGCATCGAGTTCCCCATGTCAGAGCTGGAGACCCTGTCGCCTATACACACACCTCAGCGGGTACAAGGCATCGCATTAAGCAGCTCAGCTCATGTGTGCAAAAGATTCTACGCAAAAACTAATCAGAATAAGATTATCTTTCTAATTAATCTGTCCCATTCTGTTAAGTATATTATCTCATTGTTTGTTGCTTCTAGTCTGCAACTGCTCCAGAGGGCGACTCCACCCTACACAAGTACAGCACCGCTACTCAGCCCACACCACATGCTGTCCCCCCAGCCTACACTGACCCCCAGGTCCCCAACATTCATGCCTCTGGATCCATCAATCCTACACCTGAGCAGGTACAGTGTTGTTCCCATACATGACTGAAACTAAACAGTTGCTTCAGATGTGTATCCAACCTGTAACAACCTGCAGTTCCCTTACAAAAGAAGATGTCTTGATCCAATCCTTTCTGTCTGACGTACCACCAGAGCTGTCATGTTTCAGTAGGGAGCTAAGCTGAAGGTTATTTAACACTATTGTTTATTATATCATCAGAATGTGGGTGTTTAGTCTACTTTGTATTTGTAGTGTAATCATTCGGACTGTCAGAGGCTGGACGTTTCAACCATTTATCTATTACTTTTGGCTGTCTTTGCTAACTTATTTTCACACACTCAGTTGCAACGTGTGGTTTTACATGTATGTAATGTGTATCTAATGTATTTGGCTGTTTATTTTCCTCTTTAACACAAAAATGCAGATATATATTTTCAGTCAAATCAAAATGATTCAGTTTTAGTTGAGTTAAAATGAGTTTAATTGAGTTTTCCAAGTAGCCCTGGTTTGGAATCACCGTTTAAACAACCCTGTTGTCTGCAAATCAGATTCTTTTTCTAACACCAGCTTGCGTGTAGTAGACTGTAACTGTAGATGAATTTATCTCTGTGTCATCCAGATTTGCCGGCTGCGCAGCGAGTTGGACATTGTTCGAGGAAACACTAAGGTGATGTCAGAGATGTTGACTGAGATGGTCCCAGGACAGGAGGACGCTTCAGACTATGAGTTACTACAGGCAAGGAGCCACTTATGTGTGTTTGTCTGTGTCAACACTCTGAAGTGTGTAAATGAACAAATATAAAAGACTGGTATTTTTTGTTTGAACAGACCTGTGCAAACCATTTAGAAAACCCCTAACCTGAGATCATCATGCTTAAATGTGTTTACATATGTTTGTACGTTCTTAGGAGCTGAACAGGACTTGCAGAGCCATGCAACAGAGAATAATGGAGCTCATCTCCTGTGTTTCCAATGAAGCTGTGACTGAGGAGCTACTGCATGTCAACGACGACCTCAACAACATTTTCCTACGCTACGAAAGGTTAGAAAGCTCTGACAAGTCCACAGACAAATGCAGGGCTCACACTAATTTTTAGGAGGGGAAAAAAGTACACACACACAAACTCATTTATACCCCGACAGTATTGCAGTGTTTGCACAGATTTGGTGAGGTAAACTGAAGGGCTCTTGTTAATTTCTTTCATGCCGTCCTGTCTTTGCCTCAGGTATGAGAGGTTTAGGTCTGGGAGGTCTTCAGCTCAGAGCGTCAACAATGGGGTGAGTCAGCAGTTACTTCAGCTGGTGAAACGCCCAGTGTTAACATCACTAGTTCCTTCATGTCATGGTGTTTATTTTCTGCTCATCTTTTCTCATTCTTTGATGTCCACACTTTTCAGTGTCTGTTGTGTGTCCATGTTACATGCTTTTACAATGTCTTTCAAGTGTGGTTATCTGTCAGTTACCTGTCAATGATTTACCAGATGTACATGCCTGATCAAACAGAAACCCAACAGACATATGCATTTACATTGATTCTATAATGCAAAGCAAAAGTTGTATTTTTTTTTGTTTGTTTGTTTTCCATTTGGACATGAATTTGTCTTTTATATAATACAACCAGAGCAGGCCTGTTGCTTTTAAGTGCTGTCCAGCAGGGGGAAACATTGACTGTGACAACACAATGCAAAGGGAAGTCATTGCAATTTAGAAATGCACTTGTGTTATCCCATGCCAGAATGGAATACAATCACCAGTCCTCTAAGAAGGGTGCTTTAGACCTGATAGCATTATGGGAAACTGAGTTTGGCATCACATCTAACAGGTGCCTCTCATTGTTTCCAGAATGGTTTCCATTTGTCAGTTTTATTGACATCCATTCCAATCTCGCAAGGTTTCAAATGGACCTGTCAACAAAATAATACTGTGTATGTCTAAATCGAGTTGGAGAACAATGTTTATCAACAGCTATGATTTAGTTGATTCCATGAATGTCACATGCCTACAGCTGCTAACAGCAGAGCCTTTCTTTGCTTCATAGCTTTTGTCAGTTTCTTGTTGTGTCTATTAGACACCAGAAAATATCTTGAAAAGCATGAAGGTGCTCTTGGAACATTTTTGCTGCTCCATTGGGTTTCCAGTTAATCAGGCATGTTATATCTTCCATAGGTTCATACCATTACATTGTGTCCCTGCACAGGCATGTAAATGGTATTCACTGTCTCTTCCTTTCTGTTCTTTTCTGTTCTACTGTTTCTGTGGCTAGCTGAGACAGGCAAGTATGAAAATATTGTCCCTAAATGACCAGTGTCACCCCCACAGCGACTGTTGAAACATGGCTAAATAATATGGGCCCAGCCTCCACCACTATCTTTCACCCCATATGGCATGTTTTGACTATGCAGCCCCCAACAGCCAATGATACGATGAACCTGGAGGTAGACTGACAGTGGCACAGCTACAGCCACTGTCATGTTGTGTTTGCATTATCTCAGACAGTCAGAGTTTGAGATTTGCAAAATGATCTTGATAGAGCAGCTCCTCCAGAGCCCAAAGATTCAGTCTCCCCTCCTCCTTCCCTGCTCTATTTCCACCTTCTTAAGGGGATTGTTTTGTTTTTATGGATAACCAGCAGTTAGGAAACATCTGTCATAACTGACTAAAAATCAAAAATGAATGGCAAACTTGTCCATTTCCTCTGAGCAAATACCATGGAAAACAAAATATATCTTTACTGTAAAACAGTATTTTTGGAACCCCTTAAGAAACAGTTTTTCAGGAGGATGTTTAATTTCCTGCCACCCTCAGTCACAGACATTTTCATGCTCTCCTGAAGCTAACCAACAAGTTTTCCACCTTTTTACTTGTTCTTATTATGCACTGTGCCTTCATTTTTTATTTTAGACCAAAAATGTTGTTTTTTGTTTTTGTTTTTTTTCTTTCTTTTCTTTTCTTTTCAAACACAGTCAAGGGACTACGTACTGTATAACCCTGCCTTTCCTTAGCCTCCCACAAAAGGATTTGTTTTACACCTTATGAGCCACAGACCGTAAATCCTTGTCTCTGCTCCTACATGAAACAAGAGCTATAAAGTGTGTCTCATCACTCCTCCTTCACCAGGTCCTGAGTGAGGCTACAGAGGACAACCTGATCGACCTCGGCCCAGGCTCCCCGGCGGTGGTCAGCAACATGCCGAACGCAGCCCCAACTAGCCTGCCCCCCACCATCACAGCCCCTGCAGGAAGGCCCTCCTCCCCTGCCACCTTGGCCTCTCGCCTGGCTGGTCTTGGTATGCATCTCCTACCTCAGACATTAGACGAGTGCTCACTTTGAGACTACAACAGTGGTGTTCTCCAACAGCTGGTAAAAGCTGGATGTGTTTCAGAACATTTGTAACCAACATGAGCGGTTTTGTGAAATTAGCCCACTGGCTAGTTAGTCATGTAATAATGAATGAATAATGAATGAAACACTGAACACAGCTGAACACAAAACAATTCAGAAGGTCGCTTTGTTGCCAAACTTATGTCACTTATGTTTACATCACTGGATTAAAGGAACAGTTCCACATTTCTGTTTGGATTTCTTGCCAATAGTTGATGAGATGGTTGATTCCACTTTCTGTCTGTGAGTTAACTTTACAGCTAGCTTAGCTTAGCATAAGACTGGAAGTGGGGGGAGCTCCATGAAACCACAACTTGTCATTACGTTTGGGTTTGTGTACGGACTAAATAAACAAGATACAACGTGATAGGTGTGTTTTTGAACTTTGGACAGAGCCTGGCTCGCTGCTTCCCCCTGCCTCCAGTCTTTCTGCACAGATATGATCTGCCTCTCAGCAAGAAAACGAGTACGCATATTTCCCAAACAATTTGAACTATTTGTTCAACTCCTGCACCTGAACCACTGCAGATTGACAAAATTTAGCCCCAAACTGTTTCTGCATTTGACCTCTGATAAGCATCAGCATTGCTTCTTAGTGGATTTGTGACACTGTAGGAAATTTTTGTACAATTCAATTGGCTTTGTAGTTTACTCTGTGGGATTCTGTTTTTACACTCTAGGGTTACTTGACAATCAAGTGTATTATTCTTTTCCCTCCAGACATGGGTGCAGACAGTGTGAGCAGCACCCTGAGCTCTCTGTCCAGCTGTAAGCCTCCTCCTGCTGCTCAGGACGACTTTGACGTGTTCGCTCAAACCAGGACCGGAGCTGTGCCTGAGCCACACAAGACGTAAGGACACATTAGAGATTTAATGTTGATTGTTGCTGAAATTAAATTTAACGGTTATTCTGAGGGCTGGGATTAATAGTTATTGTCATAAATCGATGCACCTATATTGTTTTGTTTGAGCTGTTTTGTTGTTTTTTGCTTAAAAAAGTCGTGTAGACAATAAAAAATTCAGTTCCAGATTCACTTTCTGCTGATCAATGAGTCGACTAATTGTTTCAGCTCTAATCACATTTTTAATTAGGAATCAAAAGGCAAAAACAATTTCCCAACACTTATTATAAAAGCCCTTGTCTGTGTCCTGTCTCAGCACTGCAGCAGAAGACAGCCAGGCTCCTGGTGGCCTTCCTCCCACTCTGGATGTCCTACAGCCAACTGCAGGAGTGGTGAGTGACACAGGCTTATCTGTCCAGTGTGGGCTGTGACTTTCACTCAGTGTTTTCTTGACCACGTATGTCTGTGTGTGTGTGTGTGTGTGTGTGTGTGTGTGTGCTGTACGACAGGCTGTATCTCATGTTTGAACTGGTGCTGCTGGATGCAACTAATCTAGTTCTCAAACTGAAGATTTTTATTTATTTTTTGCCAGTTTCTTGTATTTTTAACTTTGCTTAAGCATCTTAAGTAGAACTACTCCTTCTAATCTGTTGTTTTTGTTGCATTACTAACAAGACTGACGTAGATTTTGTCTTGTCAGTTGTTTGTTCGCTTCTCACAAAACTTTTTTCATCTCTATACTAAACGGTCAAGTAGGAAAGGAAACACTTCAGATCTTAAAAACTTGGAAACATGCTCTGTAGCTGCTGTATCACCCACTAGTGGGTTGTTTTCTATTATTCAAATCTAGTTTTCTTTGTAATGAAACGGATTCAGCTTGTGGTCACTGGATGAGAGTTCATTTCCTGCTGTGGTGTCAGACGTGATTTTGCTTCCTGTATTTCCTCGTCGCCAGCATTACCGGCTTTAACCTGCATGCTGAGGATGTGCCGGCGTTGTGTTTGTGTGAATGTGGATGTTCCCTCACAGGCTGCTCATGTGATGTGCCACACCGTTCACAAACATTGATTTCCATTCCATTTCTTCATTATTATTATTTTTTTTCCCTCACGAAATACTCTCTTATGTTGCATTTGACACTGAAGTTCATTTAAGTCATATATTCTTTTGTGTTTGGGGCGGGATTTTTTTTTTTTTTGCTCTGTTTTCCGGCCACCTGTGGTGGTCTTGATGCTGCCCCGTAGGGTGTCGGTGGCCAGTCCTCTGTCATGGATGACATAGAGGAGTGGCTGTGTACTGATGTGGTGAGCCCATCATGATTTTTATTTCTGCCTGCACTTCTCCCTCTTTGCTTTTTCACTCTGTTGTAGCCCCTTATCTCAGTTTTTTTGGAGCCAGAAAGTAACACATTTCTCTTATATCACATTTCCTCACTCTTTGACCACATTTTAACATCCTAGTTTACTTTGAAGATACTAACAGTGTGTTGTGGGGGCGAACTCACCTTATTACGAAAGAATGTTGTGAAATGAGCATAAGGCCTTGAATGTAAATGAATGCAAATGTCCACGATCAGGTGGTCAGGTCTGTGAATATGTGTCTCCGTCTGCTCTCAGCTTTGACAACCAAGGATAAAGTTCCTTCTCATGTGAGAGATTTTTAGTTGTAGCTTCACATTTATGAAAGTTTCCTAACTTATATCAAATTATTGAAGTTGCCCAACCTGAACTGAATCTTAACCGAAAGCTCTGACTTGTCTAAGATTTTTTCCACCAGCCACTTTTTTAATGTGATGCAAGGGAAGAGAGGATGCATAGTTTTGTGTTGTGGTCCAGAATAAGTGATAAAGCATTACAAGACTTCATGCTCATTTTACACACATTTGTAAGATTGTGTTGCATTATTGAGTGGGAATATCCAGCTGTTTTGGTTGGGAGGCAACTGGTGGATTTGTTTTGGTGTTCTTAATATGTCATATGAATGGGCATCAATGGAAAGTGGTACTAACAGGTAAGTGGCTCTTTGTATAGTAATAAAAACTGACTGGTGAGTGTTAAATGATAAAACAGGTACTCTGCTGTTGTGTGTGTGGTTTTGTCTAAGTTAGTGGTTTTGGTCTCGTGCACAGGAGCAGAGTTTGTCTTGATTTGTGGTGGTGGTTTTGCAGTGACATAAGTTTGACAAAATCAACTACCAGGTGTGACATTGTCTGTTTTTTTCCCCCGACAGAAAGGAGATGAAGGTGAGGAGGGTGTGACAAGTGAAGGTAGGATGACGTAAATCTCCTTTTTCTCAGTTTTCTGTTGTTTCCAGCTGCATTTCACAACATTTCACTTTTTTTTTTTTTGGTACCAATTCTTCTAGAGTTCGACAAGTTCCTGGAGGAGAGAGCCAAAGCGGCAGAGATGGCCCCCAGCCTACCGTCGCCCCCCGGTGGCGACCCGGGTGCAGCGCAGGAAACCCCCAGCCGCAAGAAGCCAGACAGGCCGGAGGACACTTTGTTTGCCATGTAGACCTTTCACCTTTGACCCCCGACCCCTCAGCCTGAGACCCGACCAGCCGAGAAGCATCACCCGAAGACGGACTGACCCGACACTAAAACACATCCACCTCCGTTCTCACTACAACACAGTTCAGTTACACTACAGAGATTTGTACATGCCATCCTTGTAAAAAAAAAAAAAAAAAGAAAGAAAAAAGGGAATTGTTCTTGCTCTCCGTTAATTTCCCAGTAGAAAAAGAAAACCAAATAAATAGCCTATTTTGATACGCCACCAGACGATGGATCTCACCCACCTGAGGACCAGTGTCAGAGGCAATGAGGCAGCCTGCTTATTCCTCCTCCTTGTTCTTCTCATGTGTGAAGAATCTCCCTCCTCCTGCTGTGGACTGCAGAGCTTCATGTTGCAGCTAATCCTGATGATAAGATGTAGATTTTTTTTATATATATAGATATATATCTATATCTATATATATATATATATATAAAAGAGTCCTTGTCATAAATAGGAAATACATTTCCTATCCAAGCCCTCCAAGCATGCATTAAGACCACCAAACTTGATTATTTAAGTTTTTACTATTAAAGAACCCCCATCAGAAACATTATGGTTGTTATTGCAGAATTTAAAGGCAGAAACGCTGAGCGTACCTACACGGATATCGTTTTGGTGTTTGTCTCAGTCCCTTTTCAAGTCAGCCTGAGTTGAATTGTAAATCTGTAAATGACAAATGTCAAGTTTATGCGTTGTGTGTATATTTAAGCTACAGTATGTATGAAAGAGATGTGGATTTAATGTAGATTTTTGAAAATGGTTTAATGTTTGCAGCTGCTCTGACAATAGGGATGTACCTCACTGGGGTCAAGTTTTCCACAAGAAAAGGGAATAGTAAACATCTGATCATTTGCAAGCTCTAAATCAGAACGATAACAGAAGGGAATTTAGTTTTTGTGATCGGCATAATTGCGCAGCATACCGACAAATGTGTTCTTTTACCTTCTTTTGAATCTGTCGTCTCATGTTGTAGATTTGTCTTTAAATTTAACTGCAGTTGTTTGATGATATGTTGGTCACAACTGATTTACTGAGATTATTTTGCTGAGATTTTATTAGCATAAAGCTGCTGTAGCTGGTTTTACTTCCATCTGCTGAACGATACGGTCTAATTATTCTTGTTTATGTAATCGTGTGTGCTGAAAGTGTGTCGTTGAACGCTTTGACAGGGAGTGGGAATGTTATTTTAAACAGAATCCCAGTCAGAGGTACTGGTAGCTGAGGGAGACACATGCTGTCATTGGTGGGTTTTAACTCATTGATTGTAGGTTTTAACTCCTGTTTGAATAGATGATGCTGTATCTGTATCTAAAACTGAGTTTAGAGGACCAAATTTGTGCTGTCTTCTGGATGTGGAAGGAAAATTCCAGATAACTGGGTTGTTCAAACATAGTCCAGTCCCGTCTTTAACCTGGGACCCAGTTTCATATCCAGGGAAATGTAATGAGAGTTCAGTATCACACTACAAACGCTGTTTGCACATTATTATTCTCCTTTATTTCTTGACACTGACATCTTAAAATGGCCTGACCTTTCAACATGACATTTGTTTTCAGAAATGAGCTTGCCGCAGACACACCTCTACAAATGAGACATTTCACTGTTCTGACAATAATAAATGCAACATGTAACACAGTCACAACAAGCTTCAAACAAGCGTGCACTTTGACAGCCGCGTTACCTTTCAACTCGTACTGTAAATCAGCTAACACTAATAATGTAATGAGAAACAGGTGTAGAAATAATTTATTCAGCACAATTTTTTTTTTTCTTCAAATCAGTATTTTAAATCATTTTATTGTAGAAAAGGGAAATGAACTGAAATGTTTAGGGAGAGTATGAGAACTTGTCATAATGATGTGTGTTTTAGTGTTTTTTGGCTTTTGTTTATGGAGTTCAGATTTTCCTTTTTTTTTTACACTGCTGCTGGCTAATGTATCTTTGTCATGTTTATTGGTTTCTTGGGTGTTATTGTCGGTCGACTGTGTCCATACAGTGAACATATGGATGTGGTTTATAAGGACAGGTCATCACTGATTTGTAGCTGTAAGAGAATCACACCAGTTGTCCCATTTATCTTATGAAGGAAACATATTTTTAATCCATTCACTCACTCGTACTTTTATGGACTAACTAGCAGATGACTTAACAGACACACTTACTTCGGACACTTTCAATAAAGCATCATCATTGCACTTTTTTGAAAGGGAAACTCCCTTTCTACTTCTGTTTTCTTGATTTAGTAAAAAATGTGTGTACGCGCGCGTGTGTGATTGTGTGTTTGTGTGAGTCAGCTGTTCTGCAACGCAGAAACGTTTTATCTCAGTTGAACAAAAGACGCCTCCAAATGTGTGTTTTAAGAACACATGTTGTCCTGTTTGATACTGCCCTGGTTTGTTTCAGTGTGAGCTCTGTCAGTGGTGTATAACTGAATCTCAGCGTGCTGATAACCAGAGAGTCATCTCAGACCTGTTCTGCAGAGGAACAATATGTTTCTCTGTTTGTCACTGGACGATATGAAAAGAGATGCTGATAAGGGAGGCTGTGCTGTGTGACTGCTACTTTCCTGAGTTGCCTCATCTCTCATTTCTCTTTGTGTTGTTTGACTTATGCATGAACTCTAATAAAACATTAGCAGTGTGTGATCCAGACTTGTGTTTTTCTGTCTTTATTGTTTTATTCTGATAAGAATCAAATGTTTCATACAATATGAAGTCGTGATTTGGTTCACCACTCCAGTCCTCTCCTTGGCATACCATCCTTTGCCTGGAACCCTCTTCAGATGGTAATAACCGAGGCTGACCTGTAGTAACCCTTTTCATTTACCTTACCCCCACCACTCCACCACCCCGCCTCTCTCTGGAAGGCCGTGGGCCCCACACCAGGGGCTTCCCCATTGGCCGTCTGGAATCGCCTCATCCCACAACATGGCCCCTCACATTCTGCCTCAGTCACTGGAGCGTTTTCCCGGTCAAAAAGAAAGAGGGGTGTGTCTGCCAGACAGCAGACTGGAATACACCAGTGCACAGGATCCAGTTTGACTCAACATGTGCCGTTTGAAATGAGTAAATTATGTCTTTAAATTCGTACTGCACAAAAGAGCTGGGGGATTTCTCTATGAGAGGTAAATGGATGCTTTTATGTTTTTCAGTTTGATCACTGAAGAAAAATTACGTTCAAAAATTTGATTTAAACAAATTGTGACTAATTAGATATGTGATCTTTGTAATAACGTCTTTGTTAAATTGCTAGAAGGAAAATATTCAAATGTGGTTGTAAATCAGAAAAGAAGAATAATTTTTTTTGCCAGAGGCAGAGACACCATGTGCTACTTGTTGGCATGAGACTGAGGAAGCATGAGCAAGAGTTACTGTTCATATGGCAACATGCCACCACAACTACTGCCATATGTGAAGATAGCGACTGCCGATGATACAGTCACACAAGACTAAAAATAAATTATGACCAAGCTGTGACTGTTGTCCCCTGCAAATACTAATTAGACTCACTAATTATTATATTCTGATGAGTATCACTTTAACCGTAACATCGTAACATCTGGTGCAGAGGCCTGAGTGTGTGAAGCTGTTGGATCGCTCAAAGATTGATTCAACTTCACAGAAGGGAAGAAACATGGAGGATTCACATTTTCCCAGCCTCTTTCCCACAGATGGACACACACCGGCCTGGTGTGTGTGATCCCCCCCCCCTCCCCTCAGTCCACAAGCAGTTAGTTAGCACACCCTGGTGGTTGGACTACGGAGCCTGATGACACACACAGAGGTCAACGTGAGTGATAAGGAAACCATCATCCCAACAACTTGAACCATCAGTCAAACAGAATCTCCCCCGAACAGAGCAGCATTGAAACCACTGTCGACACCAGCCGTGGAACAAGTGTATCCGGTGTGAGTGGAAATGCTGGCCAGAGCTGTGGTGCATTGTAGTTGCATTGCATGTTCTGCTAACACAGTGCAATGGATCTGCTTTGCAACACAGAACACGGCCGTGACACAACTCAACCAGGAGCATCAACAAGAGGAGCCTCGTCCGTTATATCACACAACTTGTGGCTAGAGTGTCGGTCAGCTGCTGTGTTGCTGTGTGATGTTCACCAGTTTACAGTTTACATGGTGCAGGATCAGAAACATCTGGGTGAAGTTTGAACGGTGCCTATACAGGCCTGTACCACGGTGCATGATGTTCCAGGTGTTATTTGCATAACAATTGCAATTACTAATGTAATTCAATAGAAAATTTACAATCTTTGTGTTTTAATTACTTTTAGTTTGTTATATTTGAGGTGTGTCGGTGCAGACATGTGGCATAATAAATAGAGATGTAGAACATTTGACACTGTTGTATGTGTAAAGTCTGTTGTTGTCCAAAAACTATTAAAGACACATCGATGTTTGCCACATCAACACACTGGGTGACATGTTCCTTCATTAGCATAAACATGGGTGCTGTAGTTTATTTTCAGTCTATACCACATACACTGGCCTGCTGCTGTAAATATTCACCAGTGGACCAAATGTGTATTCATCCGCAACTGAAAGTAGTCCACATCAAACGCACTATGTACTTTCTGCCTGATTAAGTGAAAAAAAACTACAGTGCCCATCTTCAATATTTAAACATTTCCATCGTCAGTTTTGTTGGGACTGTATCAGAAAGGTGTTGATCGAACCCTGTGTTAATCTTTGTACACATTGTATGACATTGTACGCTCTACCTGTTATTTGTGTAACTGTGTATTCGTGCCTCCAGTGGAGTTCTGTGTAGGTTTCAGGTGCAGATGAAAAGGGTCAAATCATTCCTCTCAGTGTAAGAAAGGCTTGACGCCTTTTCTGAAACTTTACCAAAGGTGGCATGTTTATCAAATGAGATGTGACAAATTTAAACAGATGTCTGGCAGATTTCTGAGTTATGTATTTCAAGCCCTTTTCCTTTATTAAATTGCCTCTTTTCCATTTTCTCTCTGGAAACCTCTCCAGTCGCCTCCAGTCCACCACTTCTGTTGTATTCCTAGCAGGGACAACCTCCCGACAGTCTAAATGTAAACACATCTTCCAACTAACATTGATTGACATGCTGTGTTGATTTTCTCATTACTGACACACATGCACACTTGAAGCCATTTAAAAAATAATAGCATATTCCAGTGTTAAAGTGCACACAGGCTGTACCTGCAAGCAGCTCTGCACATGCCACAAAATGGCAAAAGGGCAAAGATGAATGTACGTCAAAATCCTCAGGCTATTTCGCTGATCTTCATTAGCTGCTAGCTCACAGTGATAGCAATGTGTGCCCCCCCCCCTTAGATTATTCACCTCCTGCAGCCTCAGCTCAAGGAAATGTACAGAAAAAATCACACTCATACACTAAACAGATATGTTTATGTCATTGGAACAAAACAGTACACTCATATTTATCTTCAGACAGTAATCCTCACCACAGCCTCAGTGAAACTTCATCGCTAAACAAGCATTGAAGATTAAATGACCTATTTGTGTTTATGATTTACTTTATATTAACGTTGCAGATCAACGGTTTCCCAATTTCCTCTACCTGCACTTCCGCTGTTTCTTGCCCTGAGCTGCTCATTTTACCTGCCAGCATGTAATGAAGTCTCAAACTAAACAAAATGTCCACACTCCTAATAATGAGAAATATCATTGTGTGTGTAATTATAAACAACTGGCTGAGGATGGCAGAGGGATAACTTGGAATAAACCTGATGAATTTATATTCGTTTAATAGAGGCCATTCACTGGGACACTGTGCCAGTAGCTACAGTTTCATATATTCATATTATAACATAATATGTGCATTGACTTTTCGGGCCTGACTGGTGCCTTGCTTTCTCTTTAGCTGCCTCAAAAGACCCCCCGTAGCCTCAGAGCACTTTATGCTAAGTTAATTTACCCAAATATATCCGCGGCGTCACGGCAGCAGCAGCAGCAGCCCCCACTATTCAACATCAACAACTTTGTTAATGGAAACTTGCTGATCCATAAACGTTTGCGCCGCCACAGACGGTTGCTGGGGGGCAGTTCACATATGAATGTTAAAAACCCACAGATCGATGAGGGGCATTTGCAAAGGAGGCATAAGGTGTGTTTAATTATAATTGCGTCAGGGGTTTCGTTTGTGTGTGAGTGTGTGTGTGTGTTTGTTGGGGGGAGGTGTTGCTGTTAAGGCTTAGGCAGGGGCCCCTGTATTTAAATAGGGTCACATCTCGGCCTCACCTTGCAAGTGTTATGCTATATTAAATGCCACTCATGTTAAGTGTGTTGAAACTCCTCTGATGTAGTCAAGACATAATATAAAGGTTAAATTGAAAAATGTCCCTTCAACGGCACAGGAACACGCCATGATTGATCTCCCTCGTACAGCCAAGAAATGTTATCCAGACCTCTGTTTCGTTAGGCTCCTTTTTAGGTGCGTGAATACAATATGTTATAATCAGGGGTGACTGGATTAGAATTTAAGTGTCAGTCAATCAGGATTTCAAAAGGTCAATGAAAAAAATGTGCAATATGTGGGTCGTAAGTGGGTGTGAAATAATTGAATTCAGTCAGAAAAGGTCTTTTCACAGAGAACACTTTGACTCTCTCTGATCTATACGTCGTGTGTTTATGTAGAAGGTCATAAACCAGAGTGTTGGACAAAGTGAAATTTTGATGATTAGTATGAATGAAATACTGTATGAAAATAGTATGTACAGTATGTACCAACATGTACCGGTACCCTGGAAAGCTAACTGGAGTTCAGCCATCATTCATTTTGTTATTTACGCTTCCTGTGACACGTCAAAATGTCTTTCATGAAAAACGCCTGGACATGTAATAGTGAAGTAAAGACCTCATGATTAGATTTTAACTCCCGTTGAGGCTTGAGAAAATTATTGTTTAAAAGGTTTCAGTAGAGAAACAAATAGTTTTAAGCTACAATGAAGCAGATCATTTCTCTTTTTCTGACAAAATCATTTCTGATTTTCAGGAAAATTTTAGAGACAAATGGATCATAAAGCTGGACTCCTTGTGAGAGACAGTTGTCCTGACACTAAATAAAATAAAATAACATGACCACAGTGGCCATTAATCAGAGCTAAATGACATGAGTCATATTTAGGTTTAACGGTCTGTGCTGTGGTGACAGGTGACAAAAGGAAAACCCTGAAATTTTCAATAAATTCTTCTTTTATGAAGAAAAAACATGTGACCTTCTGATCTGAAGATAATTCAATGAATCCAATAAATGGAGTTTGTTGTACTTTTTAAAACATTTTTAAACACATCATATTCCTGTGTATATACATATATAGAATACTGTAAACCTAGTCTATGTCAGCACTGGACACTGCACAAACAGTATAATGACAATATGAACACTGCACTGTAATGTTCACATTTTATCTTCGACAGCACGTTGCTTTCTTTAAGTGACTTTTTCCATCTGGAATCCATCACACAATACTGTACCTCTTTATTTTGTTCCTCGTTTACATTTTCAAGTCAGTAAAATTCCTCTTGTGGAATTTCTCTTGTCTTTGGATGTCCTCATACTTCCCAGTTTTGGACACAGATGCTAGTGAAGGAATAAGTTTTCCCTTGCTCTTTTTTGCTCACAGAGTCCAGAAGTGCAGGTTGAGGTGTTGCGGCTCCAGCACATGTATAGGCGGCCCTGCAGGCCCTATGTGCACAGGGCCGTGGGAGGATCTGAACCCAGACAGAGGCGGATCCGGAGTGGAAAGGATGTAGTCAATGCTAAACTTGATCTCTGACTCTGGTTTCCCTTGCAGGGTGGGGTTTGGGATGAGATGGTTTTGCTGTGGACCCGACCTCGGCCTTTCAGGGTTCAAAGGGCAGAGGGTGGAGTCGGATTCGGGGTGCCGAGCTGCAGGTACGTCCTGATTGCTGTGGCTCTCCAAAGGGTGGAAAGGGGTTTCTCCTGAATCACGGAGGCCAATTTTCATGTTCCTCCTGCGCCGGCGACGCCGAAAGTTTCCATTTTCAAACAGGTCCAGCATGGATTCACAGCCGGTGGCAAAAGTCCAGTAGTTTCCCTTTCCCTTCTCATTGCCCTCTGTCCGAGGAACCTGGGGGAAATATTTAGACAACTAATTAATTAATGATTATTACACAACCAATAATATTAAAAGAAATAGATATTATTTGGGAAAGGGAAAAAAAAGAACTAGCCTATATTACTATTTCTATTATTTCACTTTTGATAAAAAGATAAAAAGGGACAAAATTAGGAGGAAAGTCAAATTAAAAAACAATAATATCTGTGACTTAAATTATGTAAAATGAATGGTCAAATTCATTTAATTTGGCACATAAACACTTGAATTTCATGCTGAATGTGTGTCTGTACCTTGATGAAGCAGCTGTTGAGAGACAGGTTGTGTCTGATGGAGTTCTGCCAGGCTCTCTGGTTTGAGCGGTAGTACGGAAACCTCTTCATGATGAACTCATAGATGCCCGACAGAGTGACCCGCTGCTCAGGGCTCTGCTGGATGGCCATGGCTATCAGAGCGATGTAGCTGACACACAGACACACATGTGACAAGATGAAAAAAAAAGACATAATCTGCCACATGGGTAGCGGCTCTCAACCCTCGGCTTGTGTTGACCTTCTCTTTGCTTCACCTCATTATTTGGGGTCCCACAGACCCAGACGATTTATGTGTAAATATAGTAATAACTGCTAATTCATATAAATATTTTTTCCATAAATATTTTTTTTTATCTTGGATTATAGAAGAATAACAAAACAGTGACCCTTCCCTTTGCTACACAATCTGAAATGTATATATATATACTGTATATAGTTATATATATAGTTATATATGAAGTCATATATTCCAAAGTAAGTTATTTAAGTTATATAGAAAGAAATGTACAATTTAGTTTGGTATCCTACACAGTATTTAACCATGTTTTTGAGACCGCAAATAGAAGTAATTTGTCATTTTCTGTAGCAGATCTCTGAAATGTCATCAGTCCAAAATTGTGTTAATAAGAAATTCTCATAACATTAGGAAAAGTCATGACATATTAAGGTGATTAAACAATGTTAAGTATGTTTTTGAGCAGTTAAAGACGACCCCAAACAGAACATTGGGGTAAAATTATTTCAAATATTATTTTGAATTTTACTTAAGTTTAAAAAGATGTGTCTAGTCACACTAAACTAGGCTGCTTTATTGAAATCATTTGTCGTGGTAAGAATCTATGAAATAGTAATCAAATAATATTTTTCAATGGTAAAATAAACAGAAATGAACTTTGCTGCACTTCTGAAGGGAAATGACTACCAAAATAAGAGTCAACACTATGATTATTAAAAAGTTTCGAGAGATAATATACTGAATTTACATTAAGCTGACAATGTAGTGTAGTCTATTTCTAAAAATAGAACTATGTTCCCTCATAAAATCTGTTTCGCCTTGTTTGGCCCAAGCTGAAACAATGTAAAATTTGTATGAAAAAACTGTTCATTTTACACTTTTAAAAGGAAAAAATAAAGCCAGGTATTGGCTGGCCACAGTAGTTGATAGTTATCAAGAAATATAAAAAAAAAAGAAAGAAAGTATGAATTCAAAATCTCCCATACCTGTATGCGGGTCTACACATTTTCTTCTCTTCGTCAGTGCTAGAGGAAGGGTATCCGTCTCCATCGTAGTTAAAACAGTTGAAGGGGTAGTTAGAGTTATCGAACATATCTACACTTTGAGGAGTCAGATGTGTGGTCCAAACTCTCTGGCTCCTCTGACTGTCCTGGCCAAAGCCCAGCAGCAACACCCTGTCCTGCTGCTCTGCTTTGCCACCATGCTCTGCACAGCCAGCTGACACTCACTCTGAGCTCTGCTGATGACGGCTGCCCCTCCAGCCCCCCTCTCCCCTCCTCGTCCCAGCTGCTCTCCAGAAGCGGCTGCAGGTCTGAACACTCAGGACCACCTAGCTGAGCTCACTGAACTCTGGTCCTGTTCTTGTGCACCGCTTGTGTTTTTGTCATCCACATGAATTTCATATTTCAAATAAAAAAAATCATGCTTTTTAGCACCAAAATCTCAGGGCCAGCTTTGAATTGAAAAACTGAAACCAGTCTATGCTATCTCATCTTTGAAAAGAGCTAATTTTGTCCATATTTCAAGTGGTAGAGAAAGAACTCAAAACCTTCACATAAACTTAAACTTACATCAGGAAAATCCTCTCCATTGAGGCCAGGTCTTTTACAGAATATGTAAAACGTTACCAAAAAGGGAAGTAATGAATGAATGACCTATCCATTTTAACATTGTCGATGCTCATCAGTTCTGTGTAGTTTCTGGCAATGCATCATTTTAGATGGTGTTGCAATTAAAACTTAATTGTGTAAAGCTACAGCCACGTGCTCAGCTGCCGGACATACTCAGTGAATTAAAAGCACATTTTTGCTGTCAAATGTAGAGTAAAAATGTGAAGTCTAGCAAACAGGAAATACTCAAGGGCAGAGCCGGTGGGCTTCAGTGCATCGAAATTGCTGTAGGCTACATGAAATGGCTGTTAAGCTGAGTGGGATACTTTGTTGCGCAACAACCCTGGGCTGTGGAGTCTGTTGGCTGAAGAACGATAAATGTAAGCTATTTTTGGTCAGTAATATCCCAGGCCATTTTTTCACTTTTTTGCCATACTATCCTATATTGTTTTCCTCACTTTTTAGGCATTAATATACTATGATATCTGTATACTTTACTATAATATGACGTTTTTTTGACGTTTTTATACCTTAATATACCAGGTAATTTTTTCACTTTTTTGCCATAATATCCTATGTTGTTTTTCTCACTTTTTAGGCCTTAATATACTATGACATCTGTATACCTTAATATAATATGATGTTTTTTGATGTTTTTATGCCTTAATACACTATGCCATTTTTTCACTTTTTTGTCATACTATACTATGTCGTTTTTTCACTTTTATTGCCATACTATCCTATATTGTTTTTCTCACTTTTTAGGCTCTGATATACTATGACATGTGTATACTTCAGTATATTATGACATCTTTTGATGTTTTATGCCTTAATACACTATGCCATTTTTTCACTTTTTTGCCATACTATACTATGTCGTTTTTTCACTTTTTTTGGCATACTATCCTATATTGTTTTTCTCACTTTTTAGTCCTTAATATACTATGATATCTGTAGACCTTAATATAATATGATGTTTTTTTGACATTTTCATGCCTTAATACACTATGCCATTTTTTCACTGTTTGCCATACTATACTACGACATTTTTTCAATTTTCTTGCCATACTATCCTATGTCGTTTTTTCGCTTTTTTGCCATACTATCCTATGTCGTTTTTTCGCTTTTTTGCCATACTATCCTATGTCGTTTTTTCGCTTTTTTGCCATACTATCCTATGTCGTTTTTTCGCTTTTTTGCCATACTATCCTATGTCGTTTTTTCGCTTTTTTGCCATACTATCCTATGTCGTTTTTTCGCTTTTTTGCCATACTATCCTATGTCGTTTTTTCGCTTTTTTGCCATACTATCCTATGTCGTTTTTTCGCTTTTTTGCCATACTATCCTATGTCGTTTTTTCGCTTTTTTGCCATACTATCCTATGTCGTTTTTTCGCTTTTTTGCCATACTATCCTATGTCGTTTTTTCGCTTTTTTGCCATACTATCCTATGTCGTTTTTTCGCTTTTTTGCCATACTATCCTATGTCGTTTTTTCGCTTTTTTGCCATACTATCCTATGTCGTTTTTTCGCTTTTTTGCCATACTATCCTATGTCGTTTTTTCGCTTTTTTGCCATACTATCCTATGTCGTTTTTTCGCTTTTTTGCCATACTATCCTATGTCGTTTTTTCGCTTTTTTGCCATACTATCCTATGTCGTTTTTTCGCTTTTTTGCCATACTATCCTATGTCGTTTTTTCGCTTTTTTGCCATACTATCCTATGTCGTTTTTTCGCTTTTTTGCCATACTATCCTATGTCGTTTTTTCGCTTTTTTGCCATACTATCCTATGTCGTTTTTTCGCTTTTTTGCCATACTATCCTATGTCGTTTTTTCGCTTTTTTGCCATACTATCCTATGTCGTTTTTTCGCTTTTTTGCCATACTATCCTATGTCGTTTTTTCGCTTTTTTGCCATACTATCCTATGTCGTTTTTTCGCTTTTTTGCCATACTATCCTATGTCGTTTTTTCGCTTTTTTGCCATACTATCCTATGTCGTTTTTTCGCTTTTTTGCCATACTATCCTATGTCGTTTTTTCGCTTTTTTGCCATACTATCCTATGTCGTTTTTTCGCTTTTTTGCCATACTATCCTATGTCGTTTTTTCGCTTTTTTGCCATACTATCCTATGTCGTTTTTTCGCTTTTTTGCCATACTATCCTATGTCGTTTTTTCGCTTTTTTGCCATACTATCCTATGTCGTTTTTTCGCTTTTTTGCCATACTATCCTATGTCGTTTTTTCGCTTTTTTGCCATACTATCCTATGTCGTTTTTTCGCTTTTTTGCCATACTATCCTATGTCGTTTTTTCGCTTTTTTTGGCATACTAATACTAGGCCATTTTTTCACTTTTTTGCCATACTATACTACGACATTTTTTCAATTTTTTTGCCATACTATCCTATGTTGTTTTTCTCACTTTTTAGTCCTTAATATACTATGACGTCTTTATACCTCACCATATTATGACATATTTTTATGTTTTTATGCCTTAATACACTATGCCATTTTTTCACTTTTTGCCATACTATACTATGTCGTTTTTTCACTTTTTTTGCCATACTATCCTATATTGTTTTTCTCACTTTTTAGGCCTTAATATACTATGA